ATGTGTGTGTATTGTAAAAAACAAAATGTGTATTTTGAGAGTCTTAAAGCACTTCGTTAGTGCTTTCGTTACCTTACTAATAATTATGCCGTTTTAATCTCTTCTGGGTCATTATGCGTTGGTCATTATGGATATGATTTGGCTGCGTCTGTTCTTTCATTTGCGTATTGTCAGTAGATCAACCGCAGAACTCTCCATTCTCATCGACGTGCTTATGGGATTGCGACCTCATGCTAATTTGCCGTGTTTAGTAAATCTGGCCCTAAATATACCCCACATTATGATATATGTCTCATATGAAGGTTTACATGCACGGAATAGTCTGACAGCAGATTCATATGTACCCAGTTGAAATTGTGAATAAAATGTCTGTGCGTGCAAAAAGTGCAATAACATCGAGAAGCTTCTGAGTGCTGTTGAATAAAGATAAACAACTTAGCATGGTACAACAGTGTGTTTGCCTTTCTAACATACTGAAAAACATGGCTTTCTTCTTGCATTGCTAACTTTGCTTAACAAAAGTTAAGAATTTGAAAAAGCATCCCAAAATGATGTCTCTATCTAATGAAAACATATGGCCTTTAATAACTAGACATCTGGATGAGAGTCATTTGCAAAGATCACTGGGTGAGAGAGTTTCTGCACTGCATTGCATATGCGCACAAGGTATTTTTGAATCTGATGATGTTTGCATGCCAGTCGCTCCTATTTGGTGAATTATTCAAGACTTGCACCTCTTCTTTCAGTCTAATCATTTTTATTCCCTCAAGGTGTTTACATGATGACTTTTCATTCCAGTTGAGTTGTCAGTCTGATTGTATTATTAGGCTGCATGTAAATGTGGTTAGTGTGTTGGAAAATGTGGCTCCACCTCCTTATTAACAGTCTGATCTTCTCCTTCATAGTCGAGAGGAATGGACCTGGTGGAGATTCTTTCCTTTTTGTTCCAACTGAGTTTTTCCACTCTTGGTAGGGTGAGTGTTGCTTTTACAATGTCAAGAATAACATATGAGTCCTAGATAAAAGCCATAAATTATCATAATTAAATTAAAGAAGCCATTCTGCTATAGTGCCATGAAAAAGATTTGCTTGCTGGCTTATTAAAATGTTTTGCTTTGTACTAGAATGATTGTTGTTTTTCTTGCAGGATTATTCTGTGGAGGGCATGAGTGAGTCTCTGCTCACATTTTTGCAGCATTTACGAGAGTTTGGTCTGGTTTTCCAAAGAAAGGTCAGTCATCAAGTAAAAGTGCTG